CACAAAATATTTGACATGTTTTGGCGACCATTGTATCATATTACGAGTATTGTTTGTCTACACAGGTTTACTTACTGTGGATTGCGAAGAAAAGACGTTTTGGTAATAGGTTATAGGACTTAGTGTGTAGAACCGGTGATACCTAGAAAAAACAATGATGATGATGATGATCATCATCATCATCATCATTATCATCATCATCAATTAGCTCACCACCATCACCACTGGAAAAAAACTTCACTTCAACATTGGGGGGTCCATTATAATCAAATCTTCAACATAATCACCATCATCACTACACCATGATCAACATGAACTAAACCTACAACTACTATTGACACTGGAAAAATCATCATCATCATTATAATCATAGTCATCAACATCATCATCATCATCATCACTACACCATGATCATCATCATCATAAAACCATGATCAGCATCATCATCATCACTACACCCACCACCACCACATAATCATTATAATCATAACCATTAATATCATCATCACCACCATCGTTTGTATTGCTTAGCTCTATATTCATCTTCAGATAACTTTGTAATACACTCCTCATAATTTTATGCAACACCTGACCTACCCAATAAACTGGCCCTCGATATAATGCAGCAAAAAAGATTTCTTGACAAGAACGAGTCTCCAGTCCATTTGTACATAAGCCTGGAGTAAAAATAGACAAGAGAAAGTCCATGTGGAATCCTTTTTCTGCAGCTGAAGTGTGCACATGCGCTATCCTTTTTGCTACCAAAATGAACGCGTCTTTTTCTCATGCCGAGATGCACATACGTGCATTTCTTTCTCTGCTATCGGAATGCCCGCATGCGCAAATCTTCTTCACTGTTAGGGTTTACCTTGTTACCAATCACCAGCCACGTTGAAAGGCTATTAATTGATATTATTTTCTAAGTTCTTATTCTTACAATTTCACTAACCTTACAGAAGAAATATTATGATGTCTTACCTTCATATAAACGGGTTTCTTTTGCTTGACAGTTGAAGAGAGCTGAGCAATAAAAGAACTTTTTTTCTCGACAATGTCTGATAAACTACGCCGTACGTCACCCAGAAACAGACCTAATAACAGAACACATGGTGTGTGAGAAGGGAAGGGAAGGGAAGGGAAGGGAAGCGAAGGGAAGGGAAGTAAAATAAATAAATAAATAAAGTAAACTAAAGTAAAACAAAAAGAATAAAATTCCAGCCAGGAAATCTATTAGGAAAACGGAAGACAGCGTCTGAAAAGCCATGCATCTTACCAACGAATAACACAGAGGACTCTTCTGCAAATCCCGCTAGATGGTCGTACACTGAAATAAGGGAAATAAGATAAAAGACATTAATTAAAAATAAGAAATTATTTTGTCGCACTTGCAGCATCAGTATGAGCTACATACGCAGACTCTTTCTTCCGGCCTGTTAGAGAGGAGCTGCTAAGATTCTGCATATGATTCAAAGGGGACTAGTTCATTTTCTTATTCACATCTGATACAACTATGCTCTATGACCACAGACTCATTTGTGCAATTTTATCTTCGTTAATAAGTGAGCTATTTACAGATAATATTAATTCAACTTGCACATTCTTTACATTACAGATGACTTTTGCAAATGATTTGCTTTTGAATGAAGCTAAAAATGTACACGAGTCTGTAGACATAAAACACAGAAGTGTTTACCAAATGAGAAAAGGGACTATTACTTCTGTTTCTCAACCAACATATTAAAGTCTTAGTAATGAAATCTGGAAAATATATCTTTAGATAGAAGAGAAAAAAACAACAAGCCACAATCCTTGGAGACCAAGTCCTCAGTGTATTTACCAAGCCTTTGCTTCCCCCAAATTCCTCGCATCTTCTTATAAGGTTCATGTCTTTTTTTGGGGACGTTTGGAAGCAGCACTGGTGTTGTTCTCTAGCTTTACTAACTTAGCTTTACTAAGGGCGTTTTTGTWGTCATTACAAAACTTACCAAGCTTGGTAAAATGATTGATAGTGTCTGTTTTGATGTGGGATGGTCCTTGTAATAAGTAATGCTCCTCAAGCTCAACCTCGTGGAAGTATGGCATGGAGCGTCCATAAAGAGGGCTAAAGCCAGTCAGTGCAACACCAACAGTAGCCTATTGACAATAAAACATCAGTGAGAACTACTAGATTCCTGCAATAAAATCATTAATTAAGGGAAACCCCGAAATTGCAGGACTCAAGCCAGAGGTGTAGAGAAAAGTGACATTTCATTAGCTGAAAACATCCCGCCATTGCCAGCAACGTTGTAGGTCATGTTCACGGAAGAAAAATTGTTGTGTGCATCTGTTGCAGAGTTGGACGCGTGGTGCAATTTTGTTTTTCAGTGCAACATTGCACTGTGTCCGTGCCTTAAAACATGTATTCCAGGAAGCTACAGCCCGGGAGAAGTTTGATACTGAAGAACAAATGAATGTTACCTTGATTCCTTGATCCGTGACTCGAGCACCGACTTCATTGTGAACTACTTTCGTCTTGATCAGCAGCTCATTGTAGTGTTTGCTGTCAAGAGCGCACAAGCTACTTATCATCCCTGTAAGATAAACAAATCAACACTCCTAAAACAACATGTTTCTTGGACGTGGAATATCTGCTGAAAATGCATTCAAATGGTTTCACCTCCTACATCTACCAGTCACATTGCTCTGGGAGCCAATCTGATAGTCAACTTCATAGTATTGGGTACCTTGTGGTGTTACCTACCATACGCCTCCTACATCTACCATTGCTCTGGGAGGCAATCCGATAGTCAACTTCATAGTATTGGGTACCCTGTGGTGATACCTACCATATGCCTCACAACCAGGAAATCCATACAGGTAATGTTTGGCATCGATGAGCTGTGCTGAGCCAGGTAGAAGCCTAGAAACTAGTTTTTCATGTTTTTCTCCAAACATTTCCATACTATCAAAACAAAACGCATCAATTATTTGCAACTACTTAACTCATTTTGAAGGAATATTGTTACATTGTTGCTTAATTCATTGAACTGGGCTCCCTGTAGTGAGCATGATTACCTGACAGAAGTAATGCGAAGATGAGAGACTAATCTTGGATAAGGGTTTGGAGGGAGGCAACTGCTACTTAACAGTTGACCTAAGAACCCTTCAAACGTCTGATCCAGTCTGGTCTCCACAAAATACTGAAAGATAAGACCAAAGAATGAGATGAGGATGAGATTGAGGAATAGCAAGTTGGACTTGTCGAGAGTCTTATTAGTTGAACAACATTATATTTACTGTAATAAACATGAAAACTGATGTTGAGCTCCCTGTGCTCAAACTGCTGCAATTTTGTGGCGAGGAGATTAGGCAATCTTACAATAGAACATGAAACTATAATCAATGCTGTGCTTTTTTCTGATCAAGCACTTTCCGAGATTGCTGTAGTTAAACTATTAAAGACAACTGCAAACCTTGAGAATGACAGCTTGAGAAGCGATCGCTGCTGGCGCACGAATTTTCTCTTCTGCATCCTCAACGTTTAAGTCTGATAAAAAGAATCAAAATTTAATTGCTGCACATGGATCATATGTAGTAAGAATGTAATAATAATAATAATGATGATAATAATAATAATAATAATAATAATAATAATATCTAACAATAGTGATAGTAACTTGTAGATTGCACATCCTTTTATATGGTGGGATAGGAGCTCCCTTAAATTCTTATGTTGACTATAATTTGACAATTTCTCCCTGAGAATCTAGAAGATAGCTATCTGACAATATATGCAGTCTTTGATACTAATGTATCAAATGCTTTGCACATTCCTGCTCTGTGTCTGGATCGAATATATTTTCTTGACGTTGCTTGATGCAGAGTGGGAGCCCTTTGAAATTGGTAACACATCAGGAACAAGGTGTTTTGAGTCAGTTTTGGAAAGGTTTTAATCCACTTTTTATAACTTACACGTTTTGTCTTGATGCAAGATAGACTGCTGTTCAACGCCATGTTTGAATGTATAATTTGTGAGCAAAGAATGATGACTTGTGTCAATGGGAGAGAAGTATTGCTGAAAAATAATGAAACATCTCCTACCATTAACATCAGCAAAATAAAAGTTATAAACAGACATCTTCAGGAACTTACGTGATGTTCACTTAATCGAGACACATGTATCGCCGTAAAAATAAAGAGATTGCTATGAATTATCTTTAAATAATAAATAGCCAAAAAGTAAAAAGATCTATAATTATCAACTTAGGGTTCCTGAGTATATTTTATTTTGGCCCTGTTAGGAAACGTTAGTAACGTTCCGAAATTGAGAAATAGGCCCCTATTGTGAAGATGAAGGACAAAGGTAAAGCCCCCCCCCCATAGGTCTTGATTTTGTTACCTTAAGGGTTGGACAGAAGACAAGAGCGTCATCCACCAGACCAAGCATCAGTGTCAAACAGTATTTGTTGATTGCTCGTAACTCATCAAAAACCTGAAAATAACAATCTCTTTAATACCAGTTGTTTGAAAGGAAATGCCGTAAGGACTTTGCTTTAATGAGTCTCATACCTGTGTGTTGAGTGGAAGGGTTCCAGTCTTATCTGAGGAAGACACGTGGAAGCTTGGTCTGATTGTAACTGCGTCAAGTCTGTCAAGAAGAACTTGACCAGCAACGGTAAATCCAATGCTTCTTTCCTGCCTTTGGTAAAAATTAAAATATTATCTAAAATACATTTGTAAGATGACAATTGTTAGATATCCCTTGAGGGACGGGGAAGATTTTTAAAGTAGTGGGGGTTTCTGCTTTTCTTCATGATGGAATCAAACTAAAAGAAAATAAGGTGCAATATTTGTTAAGAGTGGGGGAAGGGGAACTTGGATAGCCACCCTGACTCCATCATTCCTGCCCTTAAAGGAAACAATGCTTACAGTTCATTGCAAAGAAGATCTTTGAGGTGTTGACGATACTCCAGATACAAAACCTGTACAGCATACGAATCAGCACTCTGAAAATGCACATATGATAAAAAAAACATATTGATTAGAATGTGTTGTAGTATAGCTAAAAGATTATTATTATTTGAAAAAAAATAAAAATAAAAATTGACTTTATTTTATTGAGGGTGACATACATTACTGGTGACCCAGTAGTTTCCATTATGGCCCTCCTACAATTAATAAACTGAAATAAAGTAAGAATCCCAACTGACAAGGAGGCAAACAAGTTGGCTATTTACAAGCATGGTCGAGAAACTGAATCTGAACTAATCAGTGATCAGGACAAATAGAGTCTCAGCTAATGGCCACAGCGGGACTCGAGCCCGGCACCACAGGATTGCGAGACTGACGCTATGACCACTCGACCATGCTGCCTCCCATTGAAGTTGTAAATATCCTTAAATACATTCTTATTCAGGAGATTCCTGGGCAAAGCATTTCCATTTAAACTTAACTTCAAGACCTACTTTACTTTGCACACCAAGATAATTAGCAATTTTAATTAAGAATTCTGAAATAACGAATAAGAAAGCGATATGGTGAAATAACCAGAAACTTGAGTCTTGAGATGTGCCTGCATTATTTTCCCCACACCAAATAATCCAGACATGCGCAGTAAGTTTTCCTTTCATGGTATGAATCATAACTTTATTCAGTGATTTATTATCTTTTTTACCTCTTGTTTAGTGAATCGGGACACCAGACTTTGTAAGAATGTATTCTCTTCAATAAGCAAGTACATCTTGTATAATGTACTCTGCAAAAGTCGGTAGGCCTCAACAAGACCGTTTTCTGCTTGGTCTTGATCTCTAAAGAAGAAGAAACAAAAACAAATTACAGCAACTACTCAGACCACTGGCATAGTGGGTTGTGGGAGATGTAATCACACTCACCTGTTGAAAAGTAACAGCAAAATAACATCATGAAGAACGACAAACAAGTTCTCATGGCCAGGAAATGATGCTATGTTTTGCAGCAGGTGCTTCCTTTCAAAAGAATCAAAGAATCAATAGACCACTATGGCGTAATTTTTTCCCATTTCAGATGTTTCATTCCTTTTAGTATGATTTTTTTGTTTAACTGTTGCACATGAGAGGACACATGAATATGAATACCCCTCATAGAAAAAATCTTAATATCCTCAAGAGAATGACACTTGGTTGTAATTAGAAATCCTTACGCCCAAGCTTAAATGTCCTTTGGGTATTTAATATCTTTACAGGGAGCGATGGGTGTGAGATGGCACTGGTGTTCAAATTCACAACCAGTAAAAGTGAAAGCTCTTTTCACCATCCCTCTTCCCACCCTGCTTTACTACAGCACTTTATGCATGACTGTGAAAAGCACAGTGCCTGGCTATGGTGCTGTTCTGTGACCATGATGTTTTATAGGATTTTAATTGACTAATATTTTTTATTGCACAATTTTATTGGTCTGGCAGTTGTAAATCATTACCTCATCTTTTCTTTTACATGTTCTGCATATGGACCTCCATCAGGGCACAATGAACTTTCAGTGGCCCCTGATGTTCCTCCCAGAGCTGTGCGCGAAGTAGTAGTTGTAGAGGTAATAGAGTTTGTATTACTGGTCTTCTTGCCTCTTGTGAAAAATATAGAGCTTCCTGAGAAGATGAATGAATCATGAAAATTTAAAGTATGTTAGGCCAGGAGCAATGGAAGCTACACATGTTGTATTTCCTGTAACAGAGAGAATATCTTGTGCACTGGGTTGTACTATGTGCAAGGATAACTTACAAACGATAATTACATTTCATAATAAATAAATAAATAAATAATAATTATAACATGCATATCCTATATGCATATGCTCACATGCATGCAACATTCATTTTGCAACCCAAACATTGCATTTTCAGCTTTGATGCCTGTATTGCTGGCCAACTTTGGCTCTTCTTTAAGATCAAATTTTTTTCAAATCAAATTTTTCAAAGTCCTAGCTATGAATTAATTAGGTAATGTTGGCACTTACTTTTCGTTGAGCTCGTTGTTGGTTCACAGAATTCTGGAGGTTTTTCTGTTTTTTCAACATTTTCAAACCAGGCAAGATATTTTACCAAAGATGAATGGCTCTTGAAAACACCCTGGTAAGCACTGAAGTAAGGCATTGGAGATTCACTGACTACTCTGAAACATTTTAAAGCATGTTGGACTTTTAGTTTAGATTAGTTCTAGTAATGGCTATATAAAATAAAGTTTTGTCATGATTGTCATGTTCAATGCAACAGGGCTTAAGATAATGGCCAATCAGTTGCAGGTCATGATCACATGCCAAATTAGTTTTAGCTAAGTCGTATCTCAACGGCAAGGTGAAGATTTGTCTGGACAAGTCCCAGTTTTAAGCCATTTTTGTGGTTGTAAATACTTTCGATAGGTAGGTAGGAAGGAAGGAAGGAAGGAAGAGTACAAGGAGTAAAGGAATTTAATTTGGCAATTTTTTAATATTCTTTGTGAAAACCTTGCATGAAATATTATTGCACCAAAGGTTTTTTTGTGTAAGTACATCATGGTTGGCATTGACTCAGAGGCAGTGGCAGATATAGGGGAGTGGTGCAAATGGGTGCACACACCCGTAGATGAGCTGCTATCTAAGTAATGCATTATTGGTGCTTTTACTTACCTATCAGATTCAACCCTCATAAAAGTTAAATTACACACTATTTCTCCCCTCTTGTAATGCTGGCTGTTTGGATCCAATCTAAATAAACACTAGCAAAAAAGGAACAAAAAATGGAAACAGTCATCATACAAAAGAAACAAAAATGACGATGAAGCCCATACCTCTGAAGTAATGGTTTTTTGATTTCTAGTTGCAGCCTGCACCATGAAAAGAAACTCCTCCTGAAAGACAATCAATGACGATGATTAATCCTCCTACGAGACAATCAACTTAATATGATGATGATTATGATTGATGAGAATGATAATAATTGTGGTGGTGGTGGCGGTTATGAATGCTGGGGATTCATGATTTTAAACAACTGCAGGTCATGAATTTTGCTATTAACATACTGATTGTAACCACCAAAAAAATACAACGATAAATACTGTTGCAAGTGATGAATACAACTCTTGAATAAAGCAGTTTTCACATGACTGTGAAAAGCTCACGGCACGAACATGTTCTTGACACGGCTAGGGATGTGCCAGACCAATCACATTGCTTGAGAATTCACTCTCCATCCAATCAAATACCCGGAACACGGCATAAACAGGCGCAGACACAGTCACGCCAAAGTCACAGCACTTCAGACCAACCACATTGCGCGAGAAAAAAATCGGCCAATTAAAATTTTAGAAAACATCACAGTCACGGCACGGCACTGAGCTTTTCACAATCATACAAAAACTGCACTAATCCATTAGTTTCAGTGTCTGTTATTGTTGTGATGGATAATGGTGAAGAATGGCAGTGATTAGTTGTTACAGTAAAGGTCACTAAAGGCAATAATGATGATCCAAAATTCATATTAATTCTTCACCTGGTTTTCATAAAGATTCTGATATGTCCATGTACTGTATGACCAGCTTTGGTCATCCTGCTCTGGAACCAATACACCTGATAACCAAAAAAAAAATTTAAAGGAAAGTGGAGAGGAGAGGAGAGGACAAGACAGGACAGCAGATGTTAGAAAAGGAGAGGAGAGGACAGGACAGCAGATGTTAGAAGAGGAGAGGAGAGGA